CACAAAATGTCCCTATGTTGAGTCAGTGTCCTCACGTTGGGCCTTATTTATTGATTTTTTCTAGGAAAATGTGTCCCTATGTCGAATCTTCCGCAGGTCGGGGCGTCCGCATGTGGGGGTCTCACTTCATTTTATCAGAAGTGTCCGATCAAATTTATCAAATTTTCTGTGTAGTTTATTCATCGGACTTTCTTTTGAGCAATCCACGGAATTGCAAACATCTACTATTTAAACTAACTGCTGTATAGCTTCACGAAGTTGAGTGAGTTTTATGCCGAGAACTCACCAGACGACTTTTCTCCATTAGTTGTTCGTTACTTACTGTGTTCAACGTTTGATTATAATGTTGCGTATCATTTGGAAATCAGCGTTGTAGCCTCAAATTTACCTTGAAATCAGCTCACAAGATGAACACGTTCGATGGTACGTGCATAAAATTCCGAATGACACTTCTGGTGAATTAACGATGTGATTTTTCCCGGTGGTTTCTCGATCTCAATTATTTTTGAAATGACCCTTTTTTTCTCCCAGAGTTCGTCGGAGATGGACCTTTTTTCCTTATCCATCCATCCATCACATTGGAGGATATCTCATTCTTATTCCTGATGATTTTGGTCTTTTATGAGGGATTTTATCTGTGTTTATCTCACCTTGAAAAGAACATTAATGTCTTTTGCTGTAAAGCAGCGATATCCCCTCGCGTCTCCTCACAACCTCTCAAATGTGCGTGTGAGGCTGACGTTCTCTGCATGGAGTCCTGTCGAGATCGGGAAATGTACTGCTCGGGTGTCGTTTGAGTTTAATTTGCATTATCACAAACAGTGTATATGGGTGTACACGTTGAGTGCCTTGTTTATTGTTCTCTGTGAATATTCAAATTACCGACTTTCAAAATTTCTACCTTTTGTTCGTATGATCCATTATTGGGTTTCTAGCAATTCTTCAGATTGTGATTATTTCGAGTTGGTCTGTTTTTCGCCGTCGATCCGTACAAGTTGTAAGATCCTGTTTTCGTAATTCATATATTTGAGTCGGTGCATTTTTGGTGCGTTCATCGCTCTACAAAGTTAGACGTCTGTATTATTATTTTTTAAAGGCTCCTAGCTCACCTGACGTCTTTTTGAAAGTCGTGCGTGTGGGGTTAGAAGTTCTGTGCGAGTGGATTCCAATTCCGAACACGGGAAGCCTGCGGGCAAGTCAAACTCTCGGAGCTTCCGAATCGCAATGGAAGTGTCACGCACGTGCAGAGAATTAGAATGTATCCTCAACGAAGTTTTCTCTGGTTGTTGCTTTTAAAGTAAGAGCTAAATTGCTTAATTCACCGAAGCCATGCCTTTCCTGGGTTATTGTTGTCGAGGAATATTGGAAGTCTGTTCTTACGTTGAGCTTCATCACTCCTATAAGCTCTTGGTACGTTGGTGTGCGTGGCCCTGATCTGGATTTATCGTTTTCACGATTGCACGATGCAGTGTTGATATTTTTGGGCTATCAATCCTTCGTTTATGGATATTGTGAGACGTGCTTTTTGAAAATGAAACGTTTGCCTTCTCTAATACCCCATTGGCGAAGCCTAGATTAGAATACCTTTGTTCATTTAAGCGAAGTCGTTCCGGCGCTACATTTTTTTCTTACCCGTAAATGTATGAGGTTATTTTGAAACTTACCTGGTGAAGTGACCATGAGCTTCGAAAAAATATTTGAACGTATAGCATATCGAGGATATTCATATTTTGAAATTCTCCGTCCGGTGTATTTATCGTCTGATATGCGTGAATTTAAATCGGCTGGAATAAGATTCTGAGTTCCTATTCTTTGATATTTTGCCAAAGCACGCTTCAGGAATTCTTGGGTGTCGAAAACATATTGATTCATGGAGATAGTACTTTTCCAGGATGAGGATAAAATAATCAATATTTTGAAAAAGTCTGAAGTTTCACACCTGAGACTTCGTGCAGAAAACGGCGATTTGCACATTATTCGTGCATAGTTTGCTTACGTGAATACAGTACTTCAAGGGAATCCTTAACTTGTTATAATCAGTCATTGTTATTAATGTCAAAGGAAGGTGGAATATCATGATGCAAGGAAACGTAGCTGAAACCAACCTAAAATCCAGTGTTCGGCGTTGAAAAAAATAAAGGTTCAACATTTCCGTGGTGGATAGGCGGTAAAATGTTTCAATACTCTTGGAGTAGGACTCATGACCATTACATACAAATGGCATAAAATGTTCATGACATGCATAGCGAAATTCTTTGCCGGTATGAGACATGAGATTTTTACTTTTTTGGCAACCTCTGGAAACACTTCTATTTTAATTCTATTCGCTCTGGGATTATCGATGAGTTTATGACACTGAAATTATACCTTTTAAGGGAATATTCTTAATTATTTTTATGACAGTATGATTCAATCTTAAAAGGAAAAATATTCATGCCCGGTGAACACGAATGGCATGCAATTCTTTTACCATTTGAATGCAGGAGTCATGAGTCCTACACCAAGAATTCCTTTCTTTCCTTCCTTTTACTCAGCTCAATGCTCTTGTTCAGATTGAACAACCTGACGCACCTTTATTAAATTTGTTACGTTGCGTTCAGTAACGGGAATCGCCCTGTATTTTATTTTAACTTCGGTTGTTTGAACAGATTTGACCGAAAGACTCGTGTCCTTACATGCGCTGGAGGCTTCGTAGAAATTTCAAACGATCTCCGGTTTGAAACGGGTGGGCATTATTTTTATCCTCACTTATTTGTGGGCTATAAAGGCTGTGCATGTGGGCTGGTCATGAATGCCCTGCGTGAGATGCCAGATGCGTTGAGCTCCGGCAAAACGCTCTTTTTGTTGCTCGCGAAAATGACGCATGAGAGAGGAACTTAGTACCGATTCAGCGGACTGACGTCAAACGAGAACCAGAACACCTTGCTGCACCTTCAATTACCGTCTCTGAGCACCGCACGAGGTGTTTCTAATATCTAGTTTCCAAACGATTTAATGTCCTGCTACTTACCGTATTCTAGTTTCCCGAATCGCCTCCAAGTATTCACAATCCAATTTCATACTGGATTTTTTTTTAGGGGTTGTCCATTTTTATAGAGTAATATTTGCTAGTTTATTTCCCACTTTTTTATTTAAACCCCACTCCCAGCCGACGTCTGAATCGATAGAAGACGAAGAATGTACAGTACTTCAGTTTTAACTGCACCCATCACTGTGAGGAAAAGAGGTTCTCCAGCCTGTCTTACATGCATTTGAAGGCGAAGTGCTGCCGAAAATTCCAAATCTGTAATGATATTTGCATTTGCCTAGTGGTCATATTGCAGGTCTTGCAATCATGTTCAAGCAAAAATATTTGGCATTTGAAAATGTTATGTCTTTAATCCTGGATGTGAAGATTTTCGTAGACCGTAAATTGCTGGGCTAATATCTGCTCAAAGCAGGAAGAAATTTATCCGGGAAAAAACAGAGGCTTGCTTGAAGTGTCGTTGTAGAAAGCACTACTGGGTTAGGGAGATTGCGAGTAGAAAAACGTACCCAAAAAAGTTCGAATCAAGGTGATGAGTAAAATTATTGAACGACGGGAGGTTCTCTGAAGCCCATGCTGAATCTCTCTACCCAATCGACGGATTGATCGTTGATACATTTGTTTGCAATCTGGGTTTGGTGTTCGTATCCCAGAATCATTAAGGTTTCTCCTGTTAATTCAGTCGCCCAAGCTGCGGATTAGCCTAAAAAAAAAATTTCAAAATTATATGCATTGCATCTGTCGTAAGTGTCAATTACGACCACACGCTCATTCGAGTGCACATTTAGCGCCATGTGGCACTTACTCTGGTCAAGATTCCTTCCCGGGCATCAGGGATTTGACGTAATTGTAGGTGTATTTTCCACGGTCTGCGGAGTTCTGGACGACTTTTCGTGATTGTCCCTTGCGTACTTTTAATGACTGCGTCATGCTAGGATTAATTGCTTCCCATCATGCCCCATTAAGTTTCGAATCCAGACCCGTGCGGAGGAGAGAATGACGACTTTGAAGTCGTACGTTCCTGACCAAGAGCTCGAGCGTTTACGTCCCCGTTTCTAGTATTGCGCGCACTTTCTCTGATGCGATTTTAATGCCTCGTTAATAGGACACTAAGTACCCGGTGCGCCTTTCTTAGCAAACTGCACTAAATACGTCCAGAACGAAAATGGGACGTAAGTACGAGTCGGCACGACATTTATGGTGCTTCAACTTATTACATGCAACGATTTGTTTTTTTCTTCTAACCAGGCATTCCTGCTTCCTAAATTGTTGTACAGTGTAGTACTCACGATCTTGGAAAGAAAAGAAAAATCACGAGAAATGTTGGCACTGTTCTAATAGAATACATTATTAGCACTCCCCTGTGAACTTTGCACGATTGAGGACAGCGGGTGTTTTTGTTTTTTCTCTTCGGGATAATCGATAATCCCGGAAAAATCGTGAATTGTTCTAAAGATGTATCCAACCTTTTCCTGACAAAATAATAAGCCGCATTCCTAAAAATCTCCAATTAAATGATTTCGAATCATCAGATGGTTCTAAGCCTCTAAGGCATTCGTCACGGGTCATTAAATACAGCACCCTTTCGTCGAACTTATTCAACTTTGAAAATCACTCCATTTGAAAAATCACTGCGATATACGTTGAAGGGGAATGAAGGGCTTTTACATTATTTATATTTACATTTTCGCTGTGTTCCTCAGCCGACTCAACGTTACACCACGGCCAAATAGTCTACACGTTAGTTAATAACGGGCCTTTTTTCGACGAGATGAGAAGAATGATTAAACGTAGGGTACTCTCTGCAATAACGCGGCGAACTTTATGTTATCTGTACAGTACTACAGAAAGAAAGAAAAAATAACTGCGGGGAAACTATTCATCCTTGATGTGATGGCTTGGAAGAGAGACTTCGATGTGGTAGATTGTTTAATGGACGCAGTAGCATAGAAAGAATAAGAACCTTGCACGTGCGAATATCACAATGCTCTTCCGAAGTGATGCAAATGATCTGGTGCCTGGTCAAGGTTGTCCAAAGCGAGTCATCAAGCTCTCGGTTTCCTACCGACCACGGATTTCGTTCAGGTGCTCACGTCTGCCTGCAAATGGGCGTGAGCTTCGAGCTTCGTTTTTCAAAATGTATAAAGAACCGTCCGACTTACCCGTAGAGACTTACTCAGACTCATCCGCAACCACTGGCTACAGTCTTTCGGGGATCCGGGTATTGACGGACGAAGAGCTTCTGAAGCAGCATCGCGAGCGGCTGCGAGAAGCGGAACACGCTGTCGAACATCCGCCGCTCATCTCTATTCAGAACGTGTTTTCGGACGTGGGGGCAACCATGAAGTTTCAGGTAAGGTTCACCGTCGCTACCTTTGTGCCCGACGCTCAAGCGAACCGAGGCATAGTTTACCAGTACAAAACGTCGAACTACCGGCGCCAATATCGGCAAAGGAACGACCACAGCCCGTAGCGCGACTACGTCTTTGCCTGCTCGGCTGTTCAGTATCGAACGAAGGTTTTGTTGTTGAAGCTTATCCGTTTCTGGGTCCTCTAGTAATTCTAGTTGCAAGTGGCGAAGAGAGGGAATTTTTTTAAAAGTCAAACCAGGTCTTTGCTGAATTTCTTTGACCACATTTGTCTGAATCATCACGACATTCGGTCTCTAGCTTCGGCGGGGGTGTCTTAATTCCCGCGCGCAACGCGATTTTTTTTTAGAAAACTTCTTTACTCACTTCTGTTCAACAATCAAAGGACACTCTCGAGACTATCAGGTTATTAAAGAGGAGCGTCACTAGTTCCTTCAAAGAATTTTTTCCATAACTTTTCCAGTTCTTACAATCTATCAATGTTGGCAATTTTTTATGGTCAATTTTCAAACTCTTACAATCGATGTTAATGGGAGGAAAATTGGCAAGTGAATCATTTGTAATCACTCGGTCCGTACGTGCTTTTCAAATTAATGATTTTCTGAAATTTTGTGGAATTTCTGTGATAGTAAGGTTCTTGAACGAAAATGACCAATTATGTCAATGATTGAGAATTAGTGATGGTTATTGAATGGTCAAGGGATCTGTTCCAAATGGAAAAAAAGCTGAATGGAAAATTCCCAGTTTTTTTCTTTGGTACTTTCCTGTTTTCTAGGAATGAGGTACAGATATAACAGGAGATACCTTTTCTTTCTTATGATTCAAGGAAGCGACAAATCTGTTTGATCGGTGAAGAAGGTTTTCATTGTGTAAGAAAATTCTGATCAGGAGATCAGCTTAGAAGTTTGATCAGATCAAACGACTTACGTCAATTCGAAATTTCAAGAACGCGGGGGTTTTTTACACTTATATAGTACCCACATGAATTATGATCTACGGAAGGATATTAATTTTGCATATGTCGCTTCGCTTTGATTGCAGCTAATCGCAAGATATGCCCAACACAAGATTCTTGACTACATTGTGGCCACGAGTGCCTTGAATTCTGTGTCNTTCGAGTGCACATTTAGCGCCATGTGGCACTTACTCTGGTCAAGATTCCTTCCCGGGCATCAGGGATTTGACGTAATTGTAGGTGTATTTTCCACGGTCTGCGGAGTTCTGGACGACTTTTCGTGATTGTCCCTTGCGTACTTTTAATGACTGCGTCATGCTAGGATTAATTGCTTCCCATCATGCCCCATTAAGTTTCGAATCCAGACCCGTGCGGAGGAGAGAATGACGACTTTGAAGTCGTACGTTCCTGACCAAGAGCTCGAGCGTTTACGTCCCCGTTTCTAGTATTGCGCGCACTTTCTCTGATGCGATTTTAATGCCTCGTTAATTCCTGTGATTCATGGGCCACGCGGAAAGAATCGTTTGACGTGATTTATGCAGGTCTTGCTTTTACCCTGCATTCATGCTCAGCCGTGCTGTAAATACCACGAAGTTGAATAATGTACGTTGCTAAACCTTTTTTTCTTCTAACCAGGCATTCCTGCTTCCTAAATTGTTGTACAGTGTAGTACTCACGATCTTGGAAAGAAAAGAAAAATCACGAGAAATGTTGGCACTGTTCTAATAGAATACATTATAAGCACTCCCCTGTGAACTTTGCACGATTGAGGACAGCGGGTGTTTTTGTTTTTTCTCTTTGGGATAATCGATAATACCGGAAAAATCGTGAATTGTTCTAAAGATGTATCCAACCTTTTCCTGACAAAATAATAAGCCGCATTCCTAAAAATCTCCAATTAAATAATTTCGAATCATCAGATGGTTCTAAGCCTCTAAGGCATTCGTCACGGGTCATTAAATACAGCACCATTTCGTCGAACTTATTCAACTTTGAAAATCACTCCATTTGAAAAATCACTGCGATATACGTCGAAGGGGAATGAAGGGCTTTGACAATATTTATATTTACATTTTCGCTGTGTTCCTCAGTGCTGAGTTGCAATGTGGTGCCGGTTTATCAGATGTGCAATCAATTATTGCCCGGAAAAAAGCTGCTCTACTCTTCTTACTAATTTGCATCCCATGAGAGACGTTATTGCGCCGCTTGAAATACAATATATTCCAAGTGGCAGCGATGGAAACACGGGCTGCGAGTTCGCTTGGCTCCGTATCAAATGGTCATGTTTTGCAGCTTGATGGCCGCGGTTATAGCCGTTTCCTTGCTGGTGTCGGGCATCGCGCTGATTGTCTTTGCCTGCTCGGCTGTTCAGTATCGAACGAAGGTTTTGTTGTTGAAGCTTATCCGGTTCTGGGTCCTCTAGTAATTCTAGTTGCAAGTGGCGAAGAGAGGGAATTTTTTTTTAAAGTCAAACCAGGTCTTCCCTGAATTTCTTTGACCACATTTGTCTGAATCATCACGACATTCGGTCTCTAGCTTCGGCGGGGGTGTCTTAATTCCCGCGCGCAACGCGATTTTTTTTTAGAAAACTTACTTCTGTTCAACAATCAAAGGACACTCTCGAGACTATCAGGTTATTAAAAAGGAGTGTCACTAGTTCCTTCAAAGAATTTTTTCCATAACTTTTCCAGTTGTTACAATCTATCAATGTTGGCAATTTTTATGGTCAATTTTCAAACTCTTACAATCGATGTTAATGGGAGGAAAATTGGCAAGTGAATCATTTGTAATCACTCGTGCTACGTGCTAATCACTCGTACGTGCTTTTCAAATTGATGATTTTCTGAAATGTTGTGAAATTTCTGTGACAGTAAGGTTCTCGAAAAAAAAAGACCAATTATGCCAATGATTGAGAATTAGTGGTGGTTATTGAAGGGTCAAGGGATCTGTTTCAAATGGAAAAAAAAGCTAAATGGAAAATTCCCAGTTTTTTTCTTCCTTATGATTCAAGGAAGCGACAAATCTGTTTTATCGGTGAAGAATGTTTTCATTGAGAGAGAAGAAAGTTCTGCTCAGGAGATCAGCGCAGAAGTTTGATCAGATCAAACGACTTACGTCAATTTGAAATTTCAAAAAACGCAAGGGATTTTGACACTTATATAGTACCCACATGGATTATGATCTACGGAAGGATATTAATTTTGCATATGTCGCTTCGCTTTGATTGCAGCTAATCGCAAGATATGCCCAACACAAGATTCTTGACTACATTGTGGCCACGAGTGCCTTGAATTCTGTGTCGATCGGACTCAAGTTTTTTGCGGGGCTAGGAGCTTTGATGTCATCAGTGTATTCGCTGTTTCCTTTGAAACACAGGCGATGGAATGTTTACTTCTGGTTTTTCATAGCCGAAACTGGGATATCTTTCGTTTTGTCAGGCGCTCATGTATTCTTGGGTACCTATCGGCTGGATGATTATTTTCCACTGAATGACTTAGCCAGGTTCGAAACGAGCCACGATCTCTTCAAATTGAAAGTTAGTCGGTTTCTGGCTTCTTTTTTTTTCCATCGAATTCGGTTTCATTTTCGTAGTGTAACTTTGCAACCTATGTCATTGTCGAAGGACAAGATTTTCTCGACTTCGGGGGCATGTTCCCTCGTGGGGGTCGACGTGTTTTTTTATTCATTTAAAATTACTGTACTAAATGGGAAAAGTGCAGAAGTTTTGGTGTCTAGTTCGCCGTAGTTGTTAGCCCCATTTCGTGTCTTAAAATTTTAATTTTTTTAAGGTCGCGATAATCCATTTGATAAATTTATACTACTTCTAAATGCAAGACTCGGACTGAGAAGTGTCCGAAACTCGTTCAGGGGTATCTTAAACTGTATGAATAATTTGGAAACAATTCTGTGTAGTAATGTAGCATTTATGTTCATTTGTTGTTGTTGCGACGAGAGTTTACATAGTAGGTTAATCAATGTCCTATTGTGTGAAATGTAAGCGTATTTTTGGCAAATTATCTCTTGACAAAGTAAAAGTCACGACGTTACGGTTCGTGAACGTGGATTCGATATTTTGAAGCGCCACTTGCAATATTGGGGTTCGTGTTGTGGAGGATTGGACGAGCTCGCGTTTCTTCCTCACTTGAACGGGACATTTTCCGAGTTGATTCTGCTCTCGGAACACAAAGATGACCAGGACGAGGTTATCGCCGAACTGGCCCGACAACCCTTTCTGAGAGCCACCGTGACCCATCCCCAATTCGGTGTGCACGAGGTCAGCTGCTGCGACCGAACCAGCCACCAGACGCTTGCCACTGCGGCTCATTTGCTGTTTCCGCAAATGCCTGAAAACCCCGGGTTCTTGGGCAAGGATTTCATTCGTCTCACGAGATCGGAGTTACTCACGTTCTATATCCTGCATGTGCCGACCTACAAGCAGGTTGGATTCCGCATAGAAAGGCATACAGTATATCCATCAACAAACGCATTATTACGGCATCTACAGCAACATTTTGCCTACCCAATTTCCCAATGCAGGAATGCTCCCGAAAACGAAGTAGTACTTGAAAAGGGGAAGGAAAGGATGGGAAGCCAAAAAAGTACCGTTTTCACCCCAGCACCACGTATCCTCACATGAAACACGCACCTTCCTTCTTGAGCTGCAAAATTAAATATGAACTTATCCCTGCTTGAGACACGCGAACCAATTTTCTGTGAAAAATGTTCTCAATTTAAGAAGTGTAACTGCTAAAATGATTACTGTAACAATATTTCATACACAAATACAATGATGATACAATTGCGTTCACTTGAGTGAATACTTTTATATATTTTTCTAGGAAAAATATGATTATAGATGCTTCTGTATCCAGGTTTTGGTGTAAAGTTGTTCACTGAATAGCGTGTAGATGCTTCAATTCTTTATTATGAGTTTTTCAAAACAATGTTGAGTAATGCCTGTAAATGACACGAGGAGGGTTTTAGAGATAAAACTGTACCTTATCGGGATGTATATGAGGTTTGTTCCATATCCGCGTAGGTTTTCATCTCCAAATTTTTTTAGGAGAGTGAAACCTTACGATTCCAGTAGTTAGTTGGACAGTTCCCTCTTTTATTTCTAAATCTTGTCATGCTTAGAATATCTGTAAAAGCATTTGCATTTGTATGTAACAGCCGTTTAAATATGATGCCGTTTGAAGAAATTTTTGGTTTAGCGCAATGGTTCTGTCATTATTTCCCTATTTCAGCATGGCATAAATTTTGATACTCGAAAGGTCGAGTGATTAATCGTTACCACATGAAGTGATCACTTTTCTTGCAGGAAGTGTTTATAGTGTTCGCTCTTCTTGGGCAGCCTTCAGTAAAATAAGTGGGAAAATCCAGCAGTGCACGAAAACCGCGTTGCTGTGGTTAAATTGTATATAGTTCAATCTTGAACATAAAAATTTAACTCATTTAAAAATTAATTTTAGAAAATGAGCGCTTCAAATAAAAAAAAAATTGATATCGCTGTACTCTCATTGGTTACATTTCGGATTTTCCGCAGCTGAATGGGGCTAGGAAGAATCGAGTTTCACGTAAGATTACAGTACATGGATGGAAATTATGTTCAGTTCGCTGCAGAAGTTTTTGCAGATGTGTCCAAGCGGACAGCGAACAAATCTTGCATATATGCAATGGTATATTCAATACTATTTGGGTGGTTTTGGCGGAACGGTCGGTTCATTTTTCCACTTTCCTCAGATATCCCTTAGTTTAGTTCAAATTTCAAACCTATTCAGCAATCTCATTTCGGGATTAAAAAAAAAGGTTAATACAGGGTGCATGACATTTTGGGAAGGTGGAGGCTGTAGTAATGCGTTGATGGTCATGCAGGTAGATGCAGGTCTTCAGGGGAGTTGAGATGAAGGATTTAAACTGTGTCGCAGGTTGAATCGTGTTACGGCACTGGACGAGCAGTGCATTGCTTGCCACATGCTTCGGATTGTGGCTCGACGCTCAGTCGCCTTTTTATGGAGCGAGAAGCGCCCGCCATGGCGTTTTCCAGTTCAGTGATGTTTGGCACAGCGTTGGCGATCTTGAACATGTTTTGGATTTACCAGTTGAGCGACAAGTTCAAGAGCAAAATGACGCAGACGAATCTGGAATACGAAGACGATGTTTCAGAGGGTTCTGAAGCCCCTGAGATTTACTTGAACTTGAAGGCGAGCGTTTGGAGGTTTTCGACGCCGCGAGAGCATTTCAAGGGAGATGTCATGACTCTCGTGAGGCCGTACATGTTGCCGCCGATTGAAACGCGCGTCGTGGTCGTGCCGAGCTTCAGATTCTTCGCGATGATGTACAAGAGGGAAGCGACGCAAAAAATGCTGGACTCGCTTTTGACCAAAAAACATTCGAAAGAGCGGGTCGTTCGAGCTCGAAGAAGGTTCACGTTTTTGTAGTAATGTCATCAGATCAGGTTTTAATTGTCATTGTGTGCTGAATGGAAGCACAGGATGTCGGGATTACGTGTGCAGTACGTTACTCATATCCGTACAATCGATACACCGAGCAGCACCTCTTTCCAAGGAAAGTTTTCTGCGGCTATTGTTGTTGCGTAGTGTTCATAGGTGTCGCTGCTCAAAATTAGTCATGAGGCTTGCGCCATTTCTTGCGTTTCATACGAGTTCAGTACTGTACTGCAAATGGTGTACAATACTTTCTCTACGAAGAAGTTTTCTTCAACAATTTTCTGTGTATAAAGAATTTTATTTTGGGTCAATAGGGTTGTCTCCTAAATTCACAGGGGTTTTCTACTAAGAAATTCTAACGGATGTTAGAACGGATGTTTTCTGGCCCTCTGAATTTCGATATAGAGAGTCCCTCTAACTTCATGCAAACGTATGAACGTTTGAATACGTTTCTACGAGAGGCTAAGAAAGCACAGGTTAAGAGTTATGCATTTCACTTGACAGAGAAAGCTTGGTACAGTAACTGGTTTCAATACTGATGGGTTTTCTCTTTTCATAGCATCGTAATAAATATGAAAAATAGTTCTTCCATTGCGATCAAGAAAGTAAAATCATCGATCAACCTTGTTTTTTACTCAGAGTTTTATGCATTCGAATGAGTTTGGAAATGCTTAATTCTTCTACAGTCCAAAGTACAGTGCATTTCAAATTGTTGCCTCAATTTTTAATTTGTTCTAACCTTAGAGAATTAACTCCGAATTTTATTCAAAGTTGACTTTCTTGAAATTTTCTCCATTTTTTCACTTCGTGGATATCTTTGCGCTGCCTATAATTCATGTTGTCTAAAATGTCTTCTGGACTTTTTTTGATCGGTGGTACTTCGTGACCAGCAATTCTCACTTGGAGATTGGGACAACAATCTCTGAATTCTGATAATTGAAGTGCATGCTGACTCACCGTAGATCTCATTACTGTTAGGAGTGGGAGGCCAACGAAGTCGAGACAAAATAACTGTATGTAGTTTTTAAAAGGGAATTCCTGGCCTTCCGGTGCTGGAGCCCTGGATTTCCGCCATTGAAGTGTCATCGACTGCATGCGTTATACGTGCAGTATTTGAAGATGCTGCATAAATAGACTGCAAACAGAGTCGACCTTTGTGTTCTGGGACGGTGCTCCGATTTACACTAGGCAAGGGCAACCTTCATCGCACGAGTTGCAAGATTAACCTTGAAGGCGCTGAAATATATTGGGGATTGACTCACGTTGAAGCTCGTATTTGCATGGCAGTTTGTCTATCGAGTCGTCTTCCGGTTCTGGTGCTAGTCCAGCGCATGCAATTTCAAACCAATCTGCTCCACATGCTTCACGATTATACCTTTCATTGGCAACGTCGTGGCGGGGCGCTGTAAAGTTTGCGTTTTTTTGTGTGGTTTGAACTGAATATTTTGCTGAATCCTAGTTCGCGACGTTTCCATTGTTGAGTTTTTTAAAGGAGCAGTCTCAAGTTCTAGGCACTTTCCGCTTACTCAACTTCAAAAACGTTCATGTTCAATTTTCGAAGATATTACAGAAATTTGTATTGAGGTTTATGATGGACTTGCTCTGAACCTTGGTCGTGGCCTGTTACGCTCATCACTGGATGTTCCAAGTTCTAAAGAACGAATTTCTTTGCTTCATCTACGGAAGTTTCAAGTGCTGTTCGTGTTTCAGACTAAGCGACGCATACAATTTGTGTTCATATTTTTTTCCGTTTGAAGGCAATAGGTTTCATTTTAACGTGTTACTGTATCTTGTAACTGCGATAATCTTCCTTGATGTCCCCGGTCTTGAAATGGTAGGCCATGCGCTTGAAAGGATGATAGCTGATCCGGTGCGAAGCTAAAATTTTTTGCGAAAAACTCATTCAACATTTCTGTGGTCTACTTGAGTGGGAAAGCGATTAGAAAAATTATCGCTATGAGGTGCTGTTGAAACACTGGCTATAAACTGATTATGTCGAGGTTTTCTACAGTACATTCAGTATCTGTTGATTGATCAAATTCATAAGGGAAGTAGTGCTTTTCATACTACCTCATGGTCTAGTTGACCTCGGTCTCCTTTCGTCTTCAGGACTTCATTCTGTGGTAAAACGACTTCCTTGACTTCAGTTGAGAACACATTTTTTAAAATCAACTTCCATGTCGAGATTTTTCATGCTCGCGATGATTTATTTACCCCATTCCTTTCGTCAACTGGTTCAACTTCGCCATAAACACTACCTAAACCACCAATATCCGTCATGCTTTTTTTCCGTTGACGTACCCGATAGCGACAGCCTCACGGCTGTCGCTGTCTTATCTTTTTCCTCTGCTGGAAAAAAAAATCTTGCCGGAGAGAAAATCCCGTTGGCCCGAAAATCTCGATGGGCCTGAAAATCTTGCCGGGTACAAAAATCCCACGAGTTACGATAACCCCACCAAGTACAATGCGATAGAACTCGATCGATCTGGGCTTCAGTATTCTTGGAAGCACAGAACTTCATGAAATTTCACTTTAAAATGATCGTGAGGATTGGAATGTAGAAACCAGGTGACTGAAATTTGGACTCCTAAATTACGTCTATACTTTTTGAATTCTTTAGGATTTGTCCACACACCGGTGCCGAATTCAGTAACCAAAAAAGGCTTTTTCAGATGCATAAATTCACATTTCGGGATTTTGTTTTTTACCCCGCAAGATTCTCGGACTTCGGAATTTTCTCCCACGTGGGCTTTGCTCATGGAGCCAGCCTCACGTACCACTGGTGGCACATTTACCAGAAATCATACTGCCCAGTGAAATGTGAGCGAACTTAGTGAATACTCAATTGGATTTCCGCGGTTGACAGGCTGGCTAAAGGCCTCCGAGAGGAGCGTGGACAAGTGGTTCCTGAAATGTCCACATATGGACACGCGCTCAAGAGACAAACGTTTCTCAGAAAAAGGGATTATGAGCGTCGTTCTGATGATCGCTTCACCGTAGGATTTTCAGGGTGAAGGTCACGGGCGTTATTCTCGGCACCCGTGACACGTGCAACGGTTGCTGTTGACGCTGTGAATCCATGTTGAATCACCTGGCGACCTAATACTCGTCTTGGACATGTCTAATGTTCGTGTTACTTTGGGGGTTTACCGCGAGGAACTCACGGGAGATCTAGAATCCTGAAGAGTGTCTAGTGAAATTCCCGTCTGATAGTGAGCTTCAATGTGCGATTTTAAGTGCAGTATATTTTGTCATGGGTCACCAGTCGCAAGCTCACAACCGAGCCTTTGACCTTTTTGTGATTTGAAGACGGATTTCAACTCACCGCAACTGTGCTTCTAATTTGGAATATCGTCCTGCGCATCGGATAATGCGGTGTTTGACACGAGTCCTCAAAAAGATTAATTTCCTTCATAACGAATTACTATGCTATGACAATTTTACAACGCATTTTTTGCAATTTTAAGCCCAGTTTTTCTTTCCTTCAAAATACAATGGTTGTAAATATTTGAGTCTTCCTTTGGATGGCGTCTTTATTTTGCTGAAGAAGTGCATGGATGCTTCAGGGCAACACGAACTTTGAAGTTTGAACTCGAATTCAGCGACCAAATTTGTGCCAATAATTATAGTTTATTGAGATTAAATTTTTAAATAGGGATTTCTGATGAACGTGTTCCACAATTTTTTACGATTTTATATAGATATTGATTGTGACGATAGCCCGTCACGAACGAAGTTTGAGACGGAAATTTTGAGACCTTAAAAAAAAGCCTCCTTTTGGAGCAAGTACTGTTGGAACATTCTCTCGATTCCTTGTTCAACCTTGTTATTCATTGCAAATAAAGCTCATTCCCCTTGAAATTAATGCGAATTTTGTTGCTTTTTTAAATTTAAATTAAGCCCCTTCGCGAAAATTTGTGATGAAATCCAACTCAAGGACTCATCTTCATTAATCTTACTTGAACAATGAGCTCATCAGCGGCCGTAATCCCGGCTGACAATGACTATTTAATTATGAAAGCAGTGAAGGGGACACAGATTAGCTCGTTTCCCGCTATTATGTAAAGATTATAGTAATCCTAAGGTTCTCAGCCCCTTTCTTGGTAAGCAGACACAGCAATTTTAAAACTTATATTTTCGTTAAGGAACTCTTGTGTATTTGGGGTCTTTCTTTTAAAATAAAGTCTCAGTAATCTCCGCCTATTTTTCCGAAGAAAAGTCATTTTCTCTGTGCGCTGCTTTCATTTTCGTGCGCATGGTTTATTTTTCCTTGGTTTCCCTCCAGTTTTTACGCATGTTCAAGAGCAGCCACAGAAACCCGGAGACTTATTTGTGCCAGGCGGGACATTTATGGATAGGCAGACTGGTAGAACATCTTTAGTCCTTATCTAGTTCTCCTCACCTATATATTTTATACTGCACATTAAATGGTTTCTGATCATTATCGGAAGAAAAAAAATTTGAAAAATTGGGACAGAAAATGAGTCAAGACACGAACCCTGTATTATACCACATTCCAGACATCTCTTGATGAACCGCTCTTATATCACAGGCAGCAACACGAACTAGATCAGTTACACCTTTCGCAGACGCGTGAACATAACAGGGAACAGAGGCCTGCTTGTGGATGGAAACAAAAGACAGTCATGTGCACTTCTCTCCGGATGGTGACAAATACGTCATGAATGTGACAACGTGCTTCCCGGAGATGATACGGCGAAAACAATGGAGTAAAAAAAAAAAAGTCACCGCACACGACAAGGCATGTAGTTTTGAAAAATGCCCGGGGCGTTTGAAAAATTTGGTACCGGGTGTAGTCCAAAAGCCCCCCCTGCAAAAAGCCCCCTCCCCCCCATGCTTTGTGAAAAAATTGGGGATTACAGGTCTACTGGGGAAAATGTCTCTCCCGGGGGAAAATTTCCAGGAGATGACTGACTGTCTTTATTGTTCTACAGTATACTTTTCCAAGTTCTGTACTATTATATCTGCGTACTTTCTGGAATGCCCATGTCTTCGCGTTCGTGCAGAAATTCAAAAGAACGTAGTTCCATGCGCATGTTGTCGGC